TCTGCTTTATTTCGCACATCCGTTGCAATTCTTTTTACAGTAATATTTTATCGCGGTTTATAGACATGCCTTCGTATTTATATGTACATATGTATGTACATATATGCAAATGAATTGCATTTATGTATGTATATAGCAGAAAGCATACATATACATATACATGCATGTATGTACTAAATTATATACGTCTATGTAATATTTGTCGAAGATCATTCGTTCTATGTAGTACATATACACTAAATTATAGCGAGTAGATTTTGTTTCGCAAAATGATCTTGAACAGATGCCGCTCTATTAAAGCTAGCTATCATTCCAGTTTTTATATGTACATATGCGCATACATTAACAGATATAAACTGGTGTACATTTTTACATACATATTTACTATCCATGACTTTATTGTGTTGCTATTTTCCACAATCTGTTTATATGTATGTAAGTAATGTGCATTGTCTTGTTGGCAATTGCAACTAGACAAAAACCTTACATATTCGTATTCGTGATTTTACATAGATGTACATACATATGTCTGTATGTAAAATTTCGCCTTAGTCACAGCGTCTGTTTTAACGCGTACGCAGTTATTTTTTTATTGTTAAGTTTTATTTGTTTAACATTTATCGTGTCTTTTTGACTTATATATTTTCATTATTTTGTTGTTGTTAATGCTGGCGACGAAGATGATGGTTGTGAGTTTGAACGATGATGTCATCAGCTGCTGTTAGAGCGTTTGATTTTAACATAATTCCAAGAAGAGTACATAATTTCAATATTTCAAAATTTATATTTCTTTACCCTTTCATATTAGAAAAACACTTTGAACAAATTTCAAACTAAATATTTACTAAAGAAAAATCATTAAAACATTTTCTAAGTATGCATTTGTTTAACATAAAATTCCAAATAAATTATTCACTTTTATACTAGTTACACTTTCTCCTCCCAGCAGATAATTTTGGTATACTTCTACCCGCATGCCACACATACACATAATTAAAAAAAAAAATAGATATGTATGTACATACATATATAAAACAAACAACTCACACTAAGTGAAAGTTGAAAACTAAACTATTTTTAACAAATTTTCTATTTACCACAAGCGATTGTATGTATGTATGTATAGTATGTATTTATTGTATCACTGCCAAATGTGTACACTCACTGCTTCAACGCCTCAACGTAGACTGAAATGCGCCACTCAATTGCAATTACTTTTATTCCTGCGACCATTGGAAGCGCACAAGGAATGGGTGATCAACTTATTGGGGAGCGTAAAATGTGGCCCAAAAGAGCAAATGCCGGAAAGGCTCTCTAATATAACAACAACTAGCTGCCGGCTTTCTATGTGGCACAAACGCTCAGTTTTAAATATATAAATTACTTCCAATAAAAGGCGGGTCTCGCTAGCGCTCCCATTCTCTTTCATTGTCTTCCAACTACGTGTTTTGTAGGTAGTTTTCATTACACCGGCTATTAAACATTAATCATCTCTATTATTTTTTGTTGCTTAGGCTATTGGAAACTTTTGGATGTTTGAAAACTTGTTTATGTTGATCTCAATGACGTCATTTACTTTGTTATGCTCTGAATGTGGTTGTCTTTTTTTTTGTACAGATAAAAGGAACGAATCTGCTTTCCAAGCCAACGCCAACGAAATAGATGGAACAAACAAATGATTGTGAGACGCATACACATAAGCATAACATAAGTCGGGCTTTATATATACATACATATTTGTATGTATATGAATGTACATATATCTCGGAAATACATTTACGAAAAAAGGTGTGTAAAGCTTCTTCTCTCTCTATGACCCGTATTTCTTTATAACTAGTGAGCCCGTGTGGCGTTAAAACGCCAAAATTGAATTTGACATATTAAACAGGTGGCAACCTTCCTCAAATCTTAAAAAAAATTCCAAATGTTTGTCACAGTTACCGCTTATCCGTGTGCCATATTTCATCTAAGTCCGTCGAGCTGTGTCTAAGGTCGGTGTTATGCAGACAAACTTTTGTTTGCCAAATTAAATGGCGGCTGCTTAGTTTCCTCGGAGGTGGTTATGTCGAGTTTGGCACATGGTTGCACGTTCATTCTGGTTTTCATGGCTATTGCCAACACGAAATGAGAATTTCAGATGTACATAACGCGCACAATTTAAAATTTTTGTATATGACAACGCCGAATTTGCTGCAGTTTCACCAAACAAAATTAGTTTGCTGTGAGAGTCGCCAAACTCGCTCTCTCCGAGTTTGCTACAACAACAATTGCACGCAGTTTGCCAAACAAAATTTCTACATAACACCAACCTAAGTGGAGAGAAATCTCGCATGAGTCGGTTTCTCTAATTTTAAATCACCCTGTACCGATAAAAAAAGTTTTAACTTCAAAACCTAAAACGTTCTTTCACATCTGCAGCCCAAGCTCTTTAATTTGACATCACATTTTTGAAATTCGAAAGAACGGTGCAGATCTGATGACCTTGACTTTTCGAATAGGTGGCAACCCTAATCAATAGTATTTTCAAACACTCTCACTGTGACACTCAGTTTTAAATATATTATTTTTCATATCTTGCGTGTAAGTTGACTAAATTCGACATTTCAAATTGGTGGCGGCCGTTTTCAGAAGCATTTTCGAAACTAAAATCTCTTTCTTGTGACATTGAAATATGTATGTATTTGAATTAAGTAAAGAATTAAGTTGAATTTGATTTTTCAGATACGTGGCAACCCTCTAAAATATAGTTTGAACGTAAAGTGTTTAATAATTAGTTTAACAGATTAAATTTTGTATTAAACTTTTTAAACAGCGGCCAACCCGCTTCAAATGCCTCGACAATGTCCTAAATGTTCAAACTAAAGATTTCTTACCATTCTTTCGTTTGCCACCCATATTTTAATATTTTATGAAACAAATTTCGTAATATTTCATAATTAAAATGGACTTTTCAAACAGGTGGCAACCATTTAAAAATATTTTCAAACTAAAACCTTCTTAAGGCTCCTATATTGAGATACATATTTCAACATTTTTTATGCACATTTAATAATTCCAATAATTAATTTAACTGATTAAATAAATTTAAATAATAAATTTAATGGGCTATAAAACTGCATAACTAGAACTTTTCTAAAAATTCTGAATAAAATGTTTACAAGTTTTGGATGTAATTGTTTAAGTTTGTTGAATTTTTTTTTGTTTTTACTATGCAAATTGTGTTACATACATATCTCAATTACCTAGGCCAAGACCTTTAATTTGACACCTCGCCATTCCCTACCTTCTTTTGTCGCTTTTTCGTTACATCGATGGTTGCATTTACTCCCAACCGAATGCAAAGAAGTTTCACTTCAAAAAGTGCTTAAAGCGGAGTACTCAGAACAAACTTGTTTGACAAATCTGTTTGAAGAAGGTTGAGTAATCATTACCTTCCGTTTAGTCAAACTTTATTTCCATTGCATTTTTCGCGAAGTAAAGATGTCTAAATATAATGCGGATGTTGCAACTGCGCTACTGAATTCACCATAAGTGTAACCTGATAACCAGGCAGGTTTGAATCCCCAAAGATCAATATTGTAAAAAATAGCACTTGTGGAATAGCTTCTTTTATCGCTTACATTTATTTTATATTCAGCTTTATCATGATCTTTATTCTCCCAGAAAGGGTAAACTTTTCGCTTCCGTGTATTCACTAGGGGAGGATGAAAAAAAATCGGCCGAATTTTTTTTCGGGCCAAACTCACGTTAAGGTTGATTTAGCTTATAATTCTTCAGCATTAAAAATATGCACTTTATGTTGCAATAAAACATCTTTGTGAGAACCTTTAATAAATAGCCTCAAGTATGATTTTTAGGAATTAGTAAAGGCGCTTTAGAAAAAAAGGTCTTCTCAAAAGGCCTC